CCAAATGCAAATAAACCACTTAATAAATAGTTAATATATGATTCAGTAAATTACTAAGGACCTGTTTTTAAAGAATCATTGGTTAATGAATTTTGGATTGTAACCTTAAGATGTTCTTCAGGGTACAAGGCAAAAAAGGCATTTTTTTGTTTGTTTTTGCTTTTATGCCATACACCGTGCTAGGTTCTTGAGATATAAAGATGCATAAAACAACTATTCTTAAGGAGTTCACAATAAGCAATTTAACTGTCACATATAAAACCAATATAATTCTCAAATATTTTTGGAAGAAAGGGAGATGAAAGTCTTTTCTGTTGGAAAAAATTATTGGGGGTGGGTTTCATAAATCAAAATTCTGTGGTATGTGTAAAAGATAGATTTATAAACTGTATAATTATGAATGGTATGAATGAGTTAGAAACAGTACTTACAAATACCTTGTTGGTAAGAGAAAAAGAAAAAAATGCTGTCAGCATTATAGCAGGACTTATTAGGTTCTTCAGAAAATCATATTGAATGCTTTAATAAGTTAAGCTCCACTCAAAAAACTATTCTCACTTTCCTCTCCAGCTCATTTCCAGTGATTTATTTCATTAGGTCTTGTTGGAAAATCTCCATTTGGAAATTGGAATTTTTGTTTATTTTTATGAGATCTTGTCAAGATGAATTGTGTTAGAGATTTTATTACTGGAGAAAGAAGTAATTATTCTGTAGGATCTGAAGTGAAAACAGACTTGGCCACTGACCTCTTGGAGACGATTCAACATATGGAAGTTAAGTGGTTTGAGTCAAAAGAAAGATTATGATGCCTAGTTATTGTTATTTTTTGCCAAAAATTCCATTTAAACAGATCGGTTTTAAGCATTTCATTTTTTTTCCTCCTAAAAAAAAAAACTTTATAAAATTAAATGTATACCTGTTCTTTTATTTTCTCTCTTTCTTTAGAAGTAGAGACAGAATATTCTTAACTTTTCTAATAACCTAGTTCTTTGAAATCTTTTAAATATCAAGGTATAAGTCACAATACAAAAAATTCAGAGCATAAGTGTGATAAGAATCACCAAAAGTACTTGTAAAAAGTGAAAATTCATATTTTCTAGACTCAGAGATTTTAATTCATTAGGTTGTCAAAGGAAACCTAAGACTATGCATTTTTTTCCCAACATGTAGAAAATGGAGGTAATCTAGTTTAAGCAGTTTAATACTTTATAGCCTCTCAAAAGAGAATATTATAGGATGAATATGGACTCAAAGGGTACCTAAGAATTCTTCTTAACTACAGTATTAATTTAAAGTAGACATCACACACTTAAATATAACAATTCCAAATGTTAATCATTTTTACTTTAGTTGTTATTTTGAATATATACACATTCTTTCTTCCACTGGGGAAAATAATTGAGAGTGAATTATAATTGTTTTATATCAGTAAAAATAGTTTTAAGGTGGCTCTAAGATGAAAGAAATCAGATAGAAAAGAGTACATACTATATGAGTCTATTTATATAAAATTTTGGAATCGGTAAAAGTAATCTAGGATGACTGAGAACACATCACTAGTGGCCTGGGACATGGGAGTTAACTACAAAGAGGCAAAAGAAACTTTTGGGGTTGCTGGAAATGTTCCGTATCTAGGTTTTAGTGGTGTTTATATGAGTCTGTGTATTTGCAGAAGCTCATAGCACTGTCCTCTTAAAATGGGAGATTTTTATTGGCTGCAAAGAATACCTAATTAAAGTTGATTAAAGTAGGCTATCATATATTTGTGAGTTTTTTTTTTTTTTAAATGAGGCCCAATTTTCGAAAAAAAAACTTTTCTAGGCAGCTCACAGAATCTCCAACAGGACCATGAAATTGGCAGCTCCATGGTCATGGAGGCTAGGACAGCAAGTTTCTGGCTCCTACCTTATGTAGGAGGGACTCTTCAGTTAGAAAATGTCCCAACTTGGTCTTGATCTTGTCTCGTGTGTGTGTGTGTGTGTGTGTGTGTGTGTGTGTGTGTGTGTGCGCGCGCGCGTGCGCGTGCTATTTTTGAAATTTTAAAAAGTTCTAAAAAGAATAAAGAGGAAAATAACATTCATACATATTGTCTTTACCTAGACTTACTTTACCATTTAGACATATACTTCTGAGTTTTTTTGCTGTTGATTCTTTAACTCATATTAAAGAACACATATATGACGTCATTGCCATAAAAATTAGTGTGTAACAGATAATGCTCAAGTTCACCTTGACCCTGGCATCACCATTTTGAGCTCATTTATCCTCACTTAAGCAAACATTATTATGAGTTTGGTGTATATATCTTCTTAATCTTTTGCATATGTATGCATGTATATTAAAATATATATTACATTGATTTTTAAAAATTGACCTTAATGGTATCATACTGTGCACATGATTCTACAACTTGCATTTTTCATTCGATGTGGTTTTCAACTCTACCAATATTGATACACAAAGGTCTAGGAGTTAGCAACTCTAAGTACAAATAAATCCGTACAACAGAAATTAAAGAAGATTTGATAGCTTAAGGGAAATGCTGTACCATTAATTTTTGAAAACTCAACAGAAATTAGAATTTTTGTTCTGATAGTAGAAAGTTCCCATAATCTGAATGCCAGCTTCATTGGGTTGCTGCTTCCATACTTTAGAGTGTCATCTCCATATGTGGAGACAGAAAGCAAGACCAGAAAAGGTTACACACAAGAATTTGACAACACTGGACAAGGAAAAAAACCCCTCAAAACTTCAAGAGAGATAGGCATGAACTTCCTCAGATGAGCAAAGAAAGTGGAGATTTGGCAATAGCTTGTTTAGACAAACTCTACATAGTAAGTTGTTTGATAACCATTTTGAAAAAGCTTGCAGCCCCTCCCCCCACATTACTCTTATTAACACTATAGTTATTGCATGGTAGCAGAAACTGCATAATGATAATAAGGTTTTTTTTCATTTGTTTCCTGCAATTGCTTTACTTCATATTTAGAATTTTGCAAACAAATTGGCAATCTCAACTAAAGAATAGTTAAATGCTATCAATACGAAATTTTAAAATATATTTAAATGAGAAAAATAGCTTTTGTGTCATGTCAATTTATTCAAAGTTATCAACATAATTAATAACCATTTTAAGTTAAATTTAAGTTGTTAAATTGCTAGTATAAATAAATATGACTGTAAGATGTTACAATCAAATATTTATTTATACTAGCAATTTAACAATTAAATAGGGACTCCAGTATCATTTTTAAATTACACTCATATAGAAGAATAATAAGTAGTTTTTTTTTACACTCATATAGAAGAATAATACGAAGAATAATGGGGTGGTGGTGAGGACAGTTGCCCTTACAAGGTGTTCTCCATCTATAGACACATTTTTTTTTTCCTCAAGCAACACATAATAGTAATAGCTACGAATTATATAATATTTGCTAAGTGTCAGATGCTCATGAACATACTTTACAGATTTTAATTATTTTGAACTTAACAATAACCATGTGAGATAGATATCATTATCCACAGTTTACAGATGAGAGGAATCTAATACAGGGAGCTCAGAAACTTATCCAAAGTAATACAATTATGATGAAGTAGAGGTGGGATTTAAACCCATAGAGGTTCGCTCCAGAGTGCACACACTCAAGCAGAATGCTATTCTCTCTCTTCTGCACAGCAAAGTAGTGTCCTGTCAGGTGGGATGAGTGAAACTTACACTTCACCAGGTGTTCTATCGTTTTGAGAGTTTGGGAATCGTTGTGATAAACATTGTACTAGCAGTTTCATTTCAATTTTTTTGAAGAAAACCAGCATGCCTGCCATTTTCTATTGCCTAGTGGCAACCACCAGGGAAAACAAGAATAAAACCTCTAGTTAAAAGAGACATTTTAGAAAAGTATATTTCAGAAAAAACACGCATATATAATATGTATTATATATATATATGTTTTTTGTTTTGTTTTTGTTTTTGTTTTTTTTACGCCTACAGCCACCCAAGTGATATTGCTCTCCATGAATCAAGAGAGTTTCTGTCTTCCATTTAAGGTCAGAATACACAAAAAATAATCCAGTAAAATGGTTAACAGTATAGGAAATTGGAGTTTCAGAGAATAAGTAGAACAGTTTGAGAGGCAATAAACGAATATATATGTTTTTTGGATATATATAGACTTCCAAAGGAGTGTTTGCTCTTTTTAAATGCTCTCTCTAGTAAACTAGAACCTCACTTCAGCAACTCTAGTATTTCCCCCAAATTTGGCTTAGTACATACACATATGTGTGTATTTATATGTACTTGTAATACGTACGCATATTTATTATACACATACTCTCAATGATGGGAAATTTTTGTTCTCTGAAGATGGATTTTATCTGGAGATAATCAAAAGCATTTTGAGCTAAGATAGATAAATGACATAGAATCGGGCAGTATTAATTTGAAGTGAAAAACAAGTTTGGGCTAAAAATGATAAAATGGCCTTTTTAACATTCAGTTACCAACACTGACATTTACTTTTCCCAGCAAAGGGTCCAGATATATTTGGAATCTACTTCCATTATAAGGTAGCTCTTCTCCCACCACCCCTCCTACCTTTCTCTGCCTCTTCATTAATGAGCGTAACATGTTGAAAATTTGACATGCACGAAATTCTTTATATGTAAACGCCACAGTATTTTCTAGATTATGCAACAGTAAGTACATATTGTGGTAAAAAGAGCTCCCCAGATGTAATACTGTAAGAATGCAGACATTTTAGTCACCCAGTAAAGTCCTACCTTCATAAATTGTTCAATCATAGAAGAATTTTTCGCATTCATATTTGAAACTCAATTTTATTTCATTCTCACATTTGTGAAAAAAAATTCATTTACCCACTCCAAGATGCGCTGAGATCCATTTGCTGTGTGGAAATGAACTCTGTTCTCTGCACAATCTGTCTAGTGTCCAGTGGAGGCATTTTCTTATCCACTGATGCCACCTGCTGGCTGTGTGATTGTTAGATTTTAGAAAAAGCACTGCATAACGCTCCAGACAAGATGATGAAAAATGCAAATATCATTAACAGGTAGTTTTGTAGACCCTAAATAATAAAAAAAGAATAACTGTAATTAAAAAAATCTGATTCAAATATGCAAAAAGCACAGATTTTAAGAATTACTAAGTAGCTAACTAACCATCTCCTTTGGCCAGCTATGTACTTTTTTTGCTATTCTTCCAAGTAATCATCCACAAGAGATGATTAAGAACCCACAAGAGCCTTACTAATTTACCTACTCAGTAAATACATTTGGGCTCCCACTAGATATCAGCATATGCTGGAATTAAAATGGGGAGCAAAATGTGTCCTTATTTGGCTAATTGTATAATATTAGAGAAAGAAAATAAAATAAATACAGAAAAGAATGTTGCAAAGTGAGAGGAGTGTTAATAAGCAAGCAACCGTAGTTGTTTCTGAGTGTGTTACAAAAGCATCTTAACAAGGTGGTTTAGAGGGTGGGAAGTTGAGCTTCTAACCATAAGTATCAATGAAT